GCTATGCACGGACTACCGGGGGCTGAATGTGGTTTCGGCTACGAACGCTTATCCCATGCCGCTAATCAAAGACCTATTAGCAGAGGTGACCAAGGGAAAAGTTTTTTCCAAGTTAGACCTCCGGGATGCGTACTTCCGGGTGCGCATCAAGGAGGGAGATGAGACGAAATCCGCTTTTAACACTCCTCTGGGGCAATTTGAATATCTGGTTATGCCGTTCGGCCTTCAAGGGGCTCCTGGGGTCTTCATGAACTTAATCAACGAGGTGTTACATGAACATTTGTTTAAGGGGGTGCTTATTTACCTAGATGACATTTTACTGTACTCCCCCGACCTCCCCTCCCATGTCAAACTGGTCCGGAAGGTATTGAAAACATTGCACCCCGTCGCTGCGATGGGAAGTCTTGGAAGCAGCACACGGTTCTAAATTGGCAGGACACTTGGGATTTGTAAAGTCTCTGCAATTGCTCAAACGCCAGTTTTGGTGGTGGGGTGGGAGGCACCCAGAACTAGACGGCAACTACAAGCATTCTTAGGATCCGCCAACTTTTATAGAAATTTTATCAAGAACTTTGCCCAGATCGCCCTTCCCCTCACTGACCTTCTAAAAACGAAAGGGAAGGGGCCGAATGCCGCGCGGCCTGGGGCCCCACTGGCTTGGTCGGCAGAGTGCGAGGAAGCATTCAAACGCTTAAAGGAGCTTTTCACTTCCGAGCCTGTCTTGGCTCACCCTGACGAATCCAAGAAAATCATAGTGCAAACTGATGCCTCGGATGTAGCCATGGGGGGGGGGCAATCCTTCAGGAGGGGGAGAATGGGCTGTTGCACCCACTGGCTTACATCTATAAAAAATTCTCGGAGGCAGAAAGACATTGGTCTTTGTGGGAGAAGGAGGCGGGCGCAATAAAACTTGCGTTGTCGATGTGGAGGCACTGGCTGGAGGGGCACTGTCTGGAGGGTGCGAGGGTTCCGTTCGAGGTGTGGACAGACCACAAAAACCTGGAAACCCTGAAATCGCCCCGCTGTCTTAATGCAAAGCAGCTGCGGTGGGCTGATTTCTTCTCGAAGTTCCAGTTCACCCTCCACCATTTCCCAGGGTCCGCTAACTCATTGGCTGATAGGCTGTCGCGCGTCCCTCAGCATGCCAGTCAATGGGACGTC